AAAAAAAAAAAAAGAAGAAGAATTCTTTAGCAAAGGAGCCTATCTATCCAACAGGAATGTTCAATAAATCCCAAGTAAAACAAAAGACCTAGCATTTACTGAGGGCTTCCTACCTGGCAGGCCCCAGTCTAAGGGCCTCACATGCATTCACACATTTAACTCTGGTATGATTCACCGAGGCAGGCCCGGCCCGTGCTGCCCCAGGCTACTGTCTGGAGGACGAAGCAGGGCTTCAAGAGCTGAGATCATTTTGCCTCGAGTCACATAGTGAAGCAAGGAGCCAGCCTCGAAACCTGGGTGAACTGGCTCTACAATCAGGGCTCCCTTTCCTGACACTGTCAAGCACCATTACTGCAAAGTGCTGGGTATAGAGTTGGTGTCTAATGCGTGTTTGTTCTCTTCCCGTTAATTAAGCTTCAGCCAAACTGCTTACTTGGCCAGCACTTTTCCTTCCTAAGCATTTTCACTTCGCCATCCATCGAAGCTTTTCAAAACCCCTGAGAGACAGCTGCCAGCATACGATCCTGGCCAGGCGTCCTGGAGGGGCACAAGGACCCCGCCCCAGGGGGTAGCGACGGTGGGGCACCAGGGCCTCGATGTCTGAGGCACTGGCCACTGCACCACTCAGGCAAGTCATGGAAGCACCCCGGCCTCTGGATTTCCCTCTCTCAGACAGAGGCAACGGACTCACCAGGTTTCAGGGCTTTTCATGCATTATCAGACTGATCCTTTGGGGCAGGGTTGGTTTTCACTGTCTTTGCAGATTAGGGCATGGAAGTTTTGGCACAGAATTTCCGGAGTCTACAGCTTGGAGAAGACACAGCTGGGTCTCACGCCCAGATCTGGGGGACCCCACAGCCAAGACTCTGACTCCCTGGCACTTTCCCTGCATTAAAGACAGGGATCTGGGGGCTGGGGATTTAGCTCAGCGGCATAAGCACCTGCCTTGCAAGCAGGCAGTCGTGAGTTCGATCCCTGGTACCGATAAAAAGGACAAAAGCCAAAAAAAAAAAAAGACAGGGATCTGTGACACCTGCCCTGGGCCTGCCGATGCCCAGCCAGACCCCTGACAGCACTGCAGAGCCAAGTCTGTCCCCATTTTGCTTGGTGATAATACACGAATGCAAAGCCCTGACACGCTAGGGCAAGAAATACCAAGGACTGTGGGTGGAGAGGCGCCGTAACGGGACATTGGCAACTGAAAAGGACGAACTTGGTGGTGACACAATCACTGTGACCACTCAGCAAATCCGTTCCCTCCCTCATCTGAAAATGCTAGAGACTTGCCTCCCCAGCTTCCCCTACAGCTGGGGCATGAATATGACCTCATCCTGGCCAACGGGACAATCAAAAACTCTGCTAGGAAAAAAATTAATTAACTTAAAAAAATCTGTTAGGATGTTCCTGAGAAACTTTTTCCTTGAAGGAAAAAAAAAAGTAGTTCACAGGAAGGAATGCTTCTCTTCAGGAGTCTGGACATCATCGAGCCTACATTTCAGGGCTAGAACTAGGCAGCTATGTTGTGATATGAGGCCTCAAGCCTGAGGACCAAGTCACTTGGAAAGGTTGGAGTAGAATTCTGTTACTTACAGCCCAAAGCAGTCCTAACAGGAACTGCCTGATTGGATTGCTGGAAGGTTTCAGTGAGAGAGTACTTTGGAAGTACCACCCGTCAGTGCTTGGCACCATAAACAGCAGCTCCTCTGGAACTCAGAGAATTAGCTCTGGGCTCTAACTCCAAGGCTGTTCTAAGGAAAGCCTGGCAAATCAGCTCCCCCACTCCTACTGAGAAACCCTGTCGAGTTTCCCAGGAAGCAGAAGCCCGTGGTGGCCGAGGCACTGAGACACTGCCAGCCCAATGGGACCAACCCCATCTTCCAGAGAAGAATCAATCACGCTGCCTTTGCCTAATGGATTTTGATTTTCACTCCCTGGTGGAGAAGCTGAGGGTCTGTGCTGTGTTGTGTCTCAGAGTTGCCAGCCCAGCCCATCAATTATTAACAGCGTGGCTCAGCCTCTGCGGAGAAAAGGTTTGAAGCACTCAGCGCCCGCCCTGCCAGAAGGGCCTCTGCCCTTTCCCCTGGAGGACGGCTACACCCACTTACTCTGTGCAAGGCTGGGAGTCGGAGTGGGACTGTGGGCTGCCTCTGCTGCTCAGTGGGAACCTTGCCCCGGAGAGGTGAGGAAACCACCTAGCACCAGGGAGGGCAGGAGCTGAGGCCCAACCCTGACTGCTCCTCCTTCTTAGGCAAAGGGCACGGGGCCCTTTTTGTCCCTCACAGGCACCCGCTGCCATCCTCCATGCAGGCTCTCGGGTGATCTTGGAGACACTCGCCCGGGTCCTGCTGTTCTGCAATGCAGGGCATCCTAGGCTGGGGGACTGCAGTGGTCAAGCACAGAGGACTGAAAGAGGGTTGAGCTCAGGGGCCTGAGGGACAAGTGGCGAGGAAAATGTGACAGGTCCCCACGGCCTGAGTCAGTGGCTAACCGCTTTCTTCATTCACTCACTCTGAATGTGGTTATTAGAGATCCCCTGTGCCAGGTTCCATGGTGCATGGTGGGGACAGAGCAGTGAGCACAATTTAAGGAGTTCACAGGCTTGTGGGTGTGACACAAAGAGGTGTGATGCAAGGAAAGTGCAATATGAAACGGGGCTTTGGGCCTCTGCATGATGTGACCGCGGGAGGCACAGACCTGCTTACGTGGGGAATGAGGACAAAGGGCTGGCAGCAGAACAATTGAGAAGAGCACGCAGGCAGCAGGAGCAGCAAGTGAAAAGGTCCTGAGGTAGGGTAAATCCTGGCCTGCTGCAGATGGTAAGCAGCCTAGTAAGGCGGAGCCGAGTGAGCCAGAGAGTGGAAGAGATGTGCTCAGAGACTCTCAGACACCAGATTCTGTAGGTCTCATAGGCCGTAATGGAGTCTGGGTTTTATTCTGAGTGTGATGGGAAGGTTCCGGAGGATTTTCAGCAGATGAATAATGTGATCCAATTTACATTTTGAAAAGGTCCTCTGGCTGTTGTGTGGGGAATGGATTATAAGGGGCAAAAGTGGGAGCAGAGAGACAGAAGAAGTCATGGCACTTAATCATGATAGAAGGCACAGGGTGTCCCAAACCACACTGAGATTTGAGTTATGGCTACTCCTGTCTGCCTGCTGTGTGACCTGGGATAATGTGCCCCACCTCTCTGAGCGCCAGTTTGTTAGGTATTTATTTGTTCCGGGGCAGTCAGGATTTTCAGTGAGCCTGCCTGCCTGCCTGCCTGCCCGTTTCTGCTTCAGCTGCAGAAAAATCCTAGATGGTCCGTCTGCCAGGAATACGAGCTGACAGCCCAGCCTGAGATCACAGAGAGGTCATGAAGCTCCGAAGCTCTGTGTCCATGAGCGGATTAACCCAAGGGAGAAGACGGGCTGTTTATACCCAAAGAGCAACCTCTTGCAGCCCAAGTGCCTGCGTCTTGCTCCCAGCTGCCACTCAGGCACAGCCATTTGCCTACTTCTTCAGAGAGGGCAGAGCCCCCCATCCTGCGCCTCGAGCTCCTGTTTCAGGGACAGGACGAGAGGAAGAGGCACATCCGGCCTAAACAGGATGGACGCGGGAAGCCTGTGTCAGACCTGGAAATAGCAAAGTAAGTCTGCTGATCCTAAGCCGGTTAGCAGCAAGCAACTCTGTCTTACGGTGGAGGCTGTCTGACACGAACGCGGGCAGGATTATGGCCGGAAGTGGGCCACAGCTTCCCAGGGGGAGACGGGGCCGGGACCACTATGTCCTCTCCCACAGGCCAAAGAAGAAATACATGGGCTCCTTCACCTCTGACCAGCCGCCCCTGCCTGTGTCTACTCTGGGTGCTTCTCCCTGAGCAGCCAGATCTGGGGAAAGGACACCAAGGTCCCCTTCAGACTGGATTGGAGTGGGGGGCCCCCTGAGCCAGCGAGCTCCAGCTCTGATAAATGGTGCGGCCTCCTTCTCTTGTCCTTTTGCCAGGAATCTGTTTACCTGCCTGTCCCAGCCCCTCTAGGTTCCATCCTCCATGGATTTCCTAACTTGGTCTTGCGGGATCCCAACAGCAGCATCGTGGTTTCCCCCCCTTTTTCACAGCATGAAACACCCCGTGTGGTCATTTATCTGTGACACCCAGAGCACTGGGCACATGAAAACAGGCCCCACTCGGTAGGCACCGCTGAGCCCTCGCCTGGCTCAGGGAGTCACACACCAGACAGTGGCCCCTGCCCTACCCTCACACCCCCCAAGACACTCCCCAACCCTCAGAGCCCTGCTCCCCACAAGCCCCACGGGGTCACCCCTGTTCCCTCTCTTTCTGCTTCTCCGCACATCCAACCGCACATCCAACGCACATCCAACCGCTCCACCCTTCTCCCCGATTCTAAGATGTACATATCCTCCTCCCACAGCCAGAGGGTCTTTAACAGCTGCAATGAACCACTCTTAGAAGAAATTCACCAAGTAGAAAAGTAAGTAAATGGCCAGGTGACCCCTTCCTGCAAGCATTCCCCGGCGAGGCCGCATGTTGGCCCTGTCCGTGCCACCTCTCTGTGGCTCTTCCCTTCGGTTTTCTTACTTATATGACAACGACCTGACAGTATCTCAGCAGCCTCCAGACCACGTCTGGGTTGCTTATTGCGTTCCCGGGCCGAGTAGAGTTACAAGCATAGGACAGGCTCTGAAACTGCAGGGCCACCCACTCCAGCTGGGCTCTGGGGCTTCCCGGGGCTCCAGAACCAACTTCGCCCCACCCAGCGAAACCCCATTTCCATCTTGTCTGGCTCTTGTCAGGGCCGTAGCTTTTCATAACCTGTAAACCATCTTCTCCAGCAAAGCAGGGGTACACAGCATCGACTCACAGGCAAGGGGACAGACGCCCAGTGGGAAGGCTGTGGTTACTGATCCTCACATCCAGGGACTTAGCCAGAGACCCCCCCCAACAGTCCTCGGCCCGCGGACACGCGTGGCTCAGCGCTGCGCGCCGGCCTCCCGCTCACCTTGGCGGCCACCGAGGAGTTGGGCTTCTCCAGCAGGTCCCAGAGCTTCTTCCGCTTCTCGGCGCAGCACGTGTTGTCGAACTCCTCGCCCTCGCGCTCCCGCAGCGTCTCGGCCTCGCGCTTGAGCTCCTCGTTCATCTGCTCCTTCTTCTGGTGGTAGCGCGCCTGGCAGCAGGACTCCAGGTAGATCTCGTCGATGCCCCAGTAGTCGAGCTCCTGGCTGAAGCTGAGCGCGCACATCTCCTCCATCATGTGCAGCCGGCCGGTGCGGTAGAAGTTGAGGATGGAGGTGAAGGCGCCCGGGTGGCGGTCGAAGAAGTACTCGTTGTCGTCGAGGCTGTAGTCGTCGCACACCTCGAGCAGCGAGTCGTGCGTGTTGCAGTCGCGGAGCTTGCCGAGCCGCGTGCGGGGCAGGCGGTCCAGGGTGCGCCACAGCACCTCGTGCGCCAGGCCCCCCACGTTGAGGCGCACGCGCCGCGAGCACGCCTTGCTGCGCACGATCTCCATGGGCTCGGGCGGCAGCGAGCTGGTGGAGCGGGAGCCATGCTTCGTCATGCCCGCCGGCATCGCTGGTCCGGCCGCCCCCGCCCCCCCTGCCCCCCCAGGCCGCTGTCACTCGACGGCGAGGCCGGCTGCCGCCGGGGAGGGGGGCAGGGAGCGCCGTGCGCCGCTGGGGTGCAGGGGTTCGCGCGTTCGTGCGTCACGGCCGCCTTCTCACCTCCATCCCGACGGCTGCGGGGCAGAAAGCGAAAGCACACGCGGGTCAGCCAGGCGGCCGCCGGGCAGGGCCCCTCCCCGCCTGTCCGCCAGGGTCCCCATCGGCCTTGACCTTCCGGGCGGGCGGGCGGGCGCTTAAGCGGCTCAAGGGGGCAGAACGGCGGGGCGCTGTCCCTCCCGCCGGTGCTGAAGTCAGCCCCACCCCGCGGGCGGAGGGAGGGGCCGCCTGGGGCCGGGAGGAGCCCCGGATCGCCGGCCAGCCCCACCCCGCACTCCCGCGGCCCAGGCGCGACCCAGCCACCCGGGGCGCTGTCCGCCCCTTCGAGTGCTGAAACTCCGCGCGCGGTGGGTCTCTCCGCCGTCCCGAGCCTGGCCCCGCCACGCTCGGGGAGAGAGGGCAGCGGCGTGGAAAACTTTTCTCTTTCTTTTTAAAACGAGCTCTCATCCCTCACCGCCACCCCCCACTCCCGAGAAAATCGGGGTGCAGGGGCACGGCAGTGGGTGTGCTTTTCCTGAACCTTAAAGGAAGGGGTGGGGGTTCAGAAGCTTCAGATGCCCACCTGTCCCAGGTCACCACGGACGCGCTGCTCACGACAGCCCCTGTGTCCTGGAGCGACCCCTCTCCGACCACCCGAGCCCCTCCCCAGGTGGCGCCGGCGCGAGGCCAGTCGCGGAGGCGCAGAGCCGGGCTCAGCGCGGGGTCCGGCCCCTCCCTCCCCTGCGCCCCCTATCCTGTCGCAGGAGGGGCGCAGAGTCCTCCGGATCCTGCTGCGCCGTCCTCCCCTCGCTCCTTCCCCGCCCCCTCCCCCTCCTCCCTCTGGTCCTCCTCCTCCTCCTCCTCCTCCTCCTCCTCCTCCTCCTCCTCCTCCTCGCTCCTCTCCGGCGAAGGCTTTTTATAACTCCGGGTTCTGCGCCTTTCCCCGGGCTTGGAAGGGAAGGAAGGGGTGGGGGAGGTGGGAGGCGGGGAAACTAGCTGCATTTTCTGGCCTTTCAGAAACGTGCCCTCCTCCCGCCGCGCACTGGTGATTTCGGGGGGTTCCCCGATCCCACAGCGTGTGGGGCGCGCGCCCTCGCCCCTCGCCCCTGAACGGGCATCGCGCGCCTCCTGGGCCAGGTCCCCGCATCCCCCGCTGCCCCGGAGCCCGGAGCCGGGCAGACCGGCAGGCCGAGCACCGCGGCGCCCCCCGCCTGCGCCCGCGGCCCCGCACTCACCCCCAGGGCGGCCGCCTGCCGGGGCCAGCGGCTGCGCATCGCCGCGGCCGCCCGCCCCGGTGCCCCCGCCCGCGGGCAGCGGCGTCCCGGGGCCGGGCTGGGCCGGGCCTACAGCGGCCGGGCGGGCGGGCGGGCGGGCGACGCGCCGGGCTGCAGGCGCCGCGGGCCGGGGCGCGCTCTCCGAGCGGGGCGCGGGGGCGCGGGGGCGCGGGGGCCGGGCCGCGGCTCCTCCGCCCTCTCCTCCTCCTCTCCTCGGCGGCGGCGGCGGCGGCGGCTGCCTGGGCGAGATCAACAAGTCGGGGCTGAGCTTCGGCTCCGCGCTCCCCGCGATTCTGTCCCGCACTTCGGAGCGCCGCGAGTCGACACCGAGGCGGGACGGCGCCACCTGCCGGTCGGAAGCGCGCGCGCCGCTTAACTCCTCCCTGCCCGGGCGGGCCTGGCTGCGAGGCCGCGGGCGGCGGGGGCCAAGCGCGCGGGCCGGGCTGCACCGTGCCGGCCATCCCGCCTCCCACCCGCGCACTGCCCCGCGGCCCGCCCGCCCGGCCGGTCGCCACACGCGTGTGCGCTTGCTGTGTGCAAGGCACGATGACAGGCGTCTGAGATACAGCTGCGGATCAAACCCAGACCTCTGGCGCTTGTGCAGCAGCCCGGAGACAGACAGACAGACAGACTGTCCACAAGAAAGTGAAAGAACACATCACACAGGGCTAAGCCCGGGGGAGGCGCAGCAGGGGCCCCTGGAGAGCGGAGGGGTGGGGGGGATTTGACAGGTCCAGGCTTTCATGTGCTCTGAATCCTAGATTCTCAAATCTAATCCTGGAACGGAACTCTAGATCCTAGTAAGGAAAGGGCACGGTGAGCACAGTGAGAGATCGATATGCAATTGGTGGCTGTTGGTGAGGACGCTGGGAGGAACCGCAGCCAGGCACGGGGAGAGCGGGGAGGAGGGAGCTCTCTGCAGCCTGGTGACTCACCGGCTCGTTCATGTCAAGTTGGACAGCTGGGTCTGGAGAGTTCCCGGGTACCAGGCTCCTGAAGGCACTGACTTCCACCCTGTGCAACGGGGGAGACAGAAGCCACCCAATAAGCTCTGAAATGAGGAACCCCAGGCTTCACCTGGGCGGTGGGCAAGGCCTCAGAATCTGCCCCCCCACACACACACACACGCACCGCATGCACGCACACCCGCGCTCTGGTCTTTGCATTTCTAAAATGAAGCGCTTTGCTTCCATCAGGTTGCAGAGAACGTTACTGTATCTTTGTATCACCTCCTTCCTTCACCCTGGTCCTTGTCCGAGGCGCCATCATCCTGTCCCCCTGTCGCCCCTCCCTGGTCTCTCGGTGCTCACCCTGCCTCCTGCAGTTCCTGCAAGGTCCCTGCCACAGCTATCAGCTGTCTCTTGGTTTCATAGACTAGCTGTCATAGCCCGGGCCTCCCTCAGGCTCCAGACCTTCCCGGGACTTCTCCTTGCTTTAGGCTAAATCCTAAACTCCTGACTCCATGCTCTGCCACGACCCCGTTCTCCTCTCTGTTCGTAGACTCACGGAGGAAAATAGGCAACTAAAAGCAAATTTTTAAAAGTGAGAAAATCCCAGACTACAATGAGTGTCATAAAGGAAAGGAGGGCAGGAGACCGTGGCGCACGCCTGCAATCCCAGCACTCAGGAGGCTGAGGCAGGAAGATTGCTGTGAGCTGGAGGCCAGCCTGAGCCACAGAGCGAATTCAAGGGCAACCTAAACTCCACAGTAAGACTCTATCACAAGAAGATAAAGCATAATAATAATAATAATAAAGGAAAGGAGAGTTGGGGTAGAGAGGGAGCAGAAAAGGGATGACTTCACATAGAAGAAAAGGTAAAGGACCTGTCCTGGAGAGGCTGAGGGATAGGAACTCCTGGTAGGGAACGGAGAGTGTGGATGCCTGGAGGGGAGAAGGCAGGGCCGTGTTTGGGAGAGAGGAAATCGGTCACGTGGACCCTGAGGAGGACTTTGGCCTTCACCCTGAGTGAGGCAGACAGGGTGCAGGGCTAGGAGCCCAGCGAGAGCCACAGCAGCCTGTGGAGGGAGAGCAGATGGCCTCCCTCCTGCTTCACATCAGCTGCCCAGGGTCAGACGTGGCCCTCAGCTGACCCCTCTGCTAACCCAGAAGACTGACTGTGACCTCCTCCCAGAGATCTGGGCTTGTCCACAGGAGTTTGCAGAAAGCAGTCAAGCACGCCTGACTAGGGGAACACGTGACTCTCATGGTGAAACGCCCAGGTGTTACTGCAGGGCACAGTCCCCCTGCCGTATCTAAAACCACAGCCAGCTCTGCCTCCCTTCTCCACTCTGCTGAGCCAAGTTTGCTGAGCACCTACTGCAAACAGTCCCCGAGGCTCCTAGCGGGCGGGATTCCTCACAGATACTGGGACACTGCAGCCTCAGAGGGAGCACTGATGACTGTGCCTTGCTGGAAAATGTCCAGCCCACCTTCCAAACCAATGGGCTGTTCAAACGCTTGTCCGAGCTCATGTGTTTCATGTTTTCTATGCGTGCTTCAACCCACATACATGGCTTGCGTTGCAGATCTCATGCGGTTTCTTATTTTTCTCTGAGCTCCATCTGTGTCACCATGAGAACGCCAGCCTGCAGCTCCCGATAGCTGCGCCATTGTCTCTGCAGACCTGTGTCCCCTCTTCATACTCCACCCCCACCCCGTGTCACTCAGAGTGTTCCCAGCTCCTCTCCACCATAATGAATGCACCAACCTGCATCTTCTGGACCGGGCTGAGCAGCCCTGGTGTCTGGGTAACGTCCCCGCAGACTCGGGCTTGCAGGACGTCGGCTAAGGTGTGTATAACTAAGGCGCCCAGGTCTGCCTGGGGCTGCACCTTATCCCAGTGCTCCGAGTCCCTGCACCCAAAGTCTCTGACAACCCCAGGTATTACCCGGGGGTCTAAATGCTGCGGGCTGACAGGTGCAATAAATTTAAATGTGATTACTACTAAGTCTGAGTTTCTCTTCATAGGCTCGTTTTGCATAAAACAAGTCTATAAATTGCCTGGGTACATCGTCATCCATTTGCCCCCTGGGGCTCCTGTTCTTATGTCTGAGAGAACCTGCAGGACTCCCTTATATAATCTAGATTTTAAGATCCTTATCAACTTCTTCCACTGTGTCACTTATCTATTAGTTTTGTTTCTGATAGCCTGTGCTAAAGAACAAGTCTTTCAATGTGACCAGGACAGTTTGTTTTGGCTGAGTGATTTGTGCTTTGACAGTTTTGTCCCAAGAGTCTCCCCTTGTTTATTAGTTGTACATTCTTATCTTTTATTTTAAATTCTGAGTCAATTATGCGTATGCACATATAACTCAGATGCATTTTTTTCTCTATACTGAGCTGGTTTCCTGAGAACCACCCATGAAGTAGCCAGTCCCTCCCCCCCGCCACGCAGAGCCCTTCCACTTCCCCGACGCCCCATGCTCTGTTGTGCAGTTCTCCCGTGGCCCTGTTTTAGAGCTCCTGAGGACCTGGCGTCTTGTGGCAAACTTACCTTTGTCACCTCCAAAGCTCTGAGTTCATCTAAGGGACACTTACTTTCCCTTGCTCCTGGTCTGTCATCAGCTCCCATCTAGGGCCTTTCTGCCTAAAGAAGCCCTGACGAATGCAGTTTGTCCCTGGAAAGCGACCTAGGCCAGCTGGAAAGCCCACAGCCTTCATTTCCTCTACAAAATGAGCAAGGCAGCCAAGTGGTGTGCATGTCTGTAATTCTAGCACTCAGGAGGCTGAGGCAGGAGGATTGCTGAGAGTTTGAGGCCAGCCTGGGCTCCATAGTGAGTTCAAGGCCAGCCTGAACTATGTCACACGAACTTGTCTCAAAAAAAAAAAAAAAAAGAAAAAAAAAAGAAAAATGAAGGAGGCAGAGATTTTGATGTGCGCTTACTTGTATGTGTAGCAATGTCTAGATTTTTTGATTGTCATTCTGGCATTTAGTGAGCAGAGGCCAGGGTTGCTGCTAACTGTCCTCCCTGCCTGACACCCCCATAGTAAAGATTCCTCCAGCTTTGCCGGTTAACAGTGCCGAGGTTGAGGCACCCTCGGTTAATTTAATGGACAGCAAAGGCGTTTTCCAGTGTGGAAATGCCTCCTCTCACAGCAGTTAGTGAGCACCTGCTATGCGCCTCCCACTACCCCAGGCATGGAGATGCCGTGAGGGTGACAGTCCCTACACCCTGAGACTCACACTCTAATAACAAACAAGTTAACGGTCCAGTTAGTGAAAAAATAGATCAGTGCGTTCCCAGGGAAGAAAAGGCACCGGAGGGAGGTGACAAAGGCTGACAATGTGAGGCACCATCAATGTCTGACAGGTGACCGGGTGGTTTCCCGCAGGGGTGAACAGAGGCTGAGCCAGGCAGGGAACCCGAAAGAGCTTTAGGGCAGAAATGAGCCCTGTGGGTTCCAGAAAACCTGGGTGCCGGGAGCCAGCCACGCGGCCTCGAGGGGACCCTCAGCCCCAGCAGGCGGGTGCTTCCTGCCTCTCTCCTGCTGGGGAGCCACGGCAGAGCGCACTGTGCAGGAGCACCTGTTTTGACTTGATTTCTCTAAACTTTACCGGGGACCGAGGGGTGCTGGGGACACGAGACCATGCGGGGAAGCCCATGGTGAGGCTTCTGCGATTGTCCGGGCTGAAGGTGATGGGGTTTGGCTCAGGAATACGGGGGGTGCAGATGGCCAGGGGGTTTCACGGCTACGGGTGCCTGGAAACCAAGGAGCTCAAGGCCAGTGCCAGATGCTCCAAATCCCAGTGCTCAGTGCCTGCAAAGTCATCTCCACCCCGAGTCAGAGAAAGAACACCCAGAGCAGCCTGGATTGTGGGAACAGGCAGTGGGAACAGCACTGTCACCTGTCAGCAAATGGCCCTCTACTGCTCTTCTGGGGATGGCAGTGTGGCCTGTGGCCCAGAGAGAGGCTTCTGGGGTCAGAATGATTGGTGCATTACTTTGACCTTGGACAAGTGGTTTAGCTTCTCTGATCCTCAATTTTCTCTCTGTAAAATGGGATGATAATACAGAATCTGCTTTACAGGGCTATTATGAGGACTTTATAAAAAGTACTTTATCATGCTGATCTGTGTTATCTGATAGACTGT